CTCTTTCTATTACATTTTTTTTGTTTTATTCTTTACGAGCTTTTCTCCAACTTTTTGCCGATCGAGAATCCTTTGTAAAACAAAATGTTCGTAAAATGTACGTTTCCTTACTGGCTGGGTACATGTATGTATTTTTGCGCTCCTTTTACAATGCGAACAAACTTGTTTGTAGAAAAAAAACTATAACCGAAAAGAATTTGATTGATTTGTTGCTGAGTGTTTTGTATGCGAAGTAGAATATTCAAATCTTCTGCACTCTATTTGGCTAGAAGTTAAAAAAAAAATAATGGTTTCATACGTTTTGGCTTTTTTTTTTAACAATTTCCTCAACAGTGGCAGCTAAAATAAGTGAAAACACATTTTTTTCTTACTTTGGTTCTTGATTTATGATGAATTATCTCATTTCTACTTAATTTAATGACAGATTTAACAAGGCGAAATAACTTGATTTCACCATGATTTGCTTATAAATTATGAATGAGCCTTAAATTACGATAATGTGAACATTCTTTTATAAATTTCCGTTTCGTGTCTTTTAAATTATAAAAACGAACCTTCGTAAAGCTCATTTATCCTCATACTAATGTAGTGTATGTAGAGATTTTGTTTTGAATTAACTTATTTGCCAATTGCTGGTTTATGTACTTGCATTAAACGGAATACAAAACTTCATCACACTTTATATTTAGTCACGCACTGATTAGAAAAGTATCTTTTCGTTGCAGATTTGTTTATTATAAACACACAGAGTAAACACTAAAGCTGTGGCTTTCGTCCGTTTGGCTTGTGCCAGGCTTGGCATTATCACACAAATCCCATATTCCATGAGAGCGACGTATTGGAAATAAAGTCGAATTGATAAATTTGTTTGAAAAAACTGCAATGATATTTAATGCGTTAGTTCCAGGCCTTAAAGTTCGCTACGACGTGAAATTCACGAAAAACTAGAACCTTTCTTTGTCTAAAATGGCCTTTTTATACAACTTTTTAGACAGGACGTAAGTAATACGTTATAAGTTATCGCTGTATTAAACTAAAATAAATAGAATTTGCGTGGCATGTCCAAAAATTTGCTTTTAATAACAAATGCAAACATTTTAGTGCATGAATATTAAAAGGCCTCCATCGGTATATGTATCTTATCACATAGAAATTTTAAAACGTAAACACAAGCATTTTTGTGTGTTTACATATACTAGGTACTTACCAGGGTTCGTATTTGCACACACATGCGCAGCACATCCTAATATTTTACGCTCACACACGTGTGATGTGCATATAAAAAATTAAAAACTTGCTCACATCACATGTGTGTGCTGTTTGGTAAAAAGCACGGGCACATGTGTGTACTTTATTTTTATTAATATAAAGCACACGCGCATGTGTGTGCTTTGCGTAGAGAAACTTATACACTTCGATTTCTATCTCAAATCTTAAAATAATTTTTTAATATGTTTTCTGTCATATAAAAAACAAACAACATCTCACTCGTTATTGAATTGTCTTTCAAAAAATAACGTTTAATAAACAAATTCTTTTAAAAATATATTAGGGGTATTCTCTGAGTCTTGCAAAGCCCTTGCATGGTGCACAGATTGCACGGATTGCACGGTTAAAACCGGTTTTCGTATGGGACAGCTTTGCAAACCGTGCAATCCGTGCACCGTGCAAGGGCTTTGCAAGACTCAGAGAATACCCCTATTATGTGCATGTGCATGGGCTGAAATTTGTACAAAAATCGGCTCACACACATGTGCATGTGCTTAATAACAAACAGCACACACTTTTCTGTGAGCAGAGTTTGTTTTCCACTTATGCACACACATGTGTATGAGCAGTGAGTACAAGTTGAATGTGTTTCTGGCGTGTGTGTGAGCAGAGCATGTGTGTGCAAATACGAACCCTGGTACTTACTACGTAAATAGTACTTCGACTCGATCTAAATATGCATTTACTATCTATATATGTACATATATGTATTTATGTATACACACGTACAGTGGCGGTCAAAAATGGATGAATGGTGTTTAATATTTATAATGTTTTTCAAGCAAAAATTTGTTTGATCTTTTTTTTATAAAATTGTGGTAACGCTTTAACAAAAACTATATAAATACACTTTCAAACTGCATACAGAACTTACAAAAATTCCACAAATTTGTATCTAAATTTCGAGTTTTTAACCAGAATTTTTAGAAATTTTCTGGGTATGCAGTTAACAGGCTTATAAAATTCTAGTGAAATAAGTGCACGTTTTGAGCGGCTAGAAAATCGCATTGATCTTTAATAATTTTTTTTTTCTTCTGGCGGCTTTTGTGAAATTTTTCAAAGTTCTTGTAAAGTTTGAAATGTGTTTTATATAGTGTTTGTTAAAGCATGAACCATATTTTTATAAAAAAAAAGAAATATCAAAAAAATTGTTGCTTGAAAATCATTGTAAATTGTAAAAGCGAAACACCATTCATACATTTTTGACCGTCGCTATATGTACATATTAAATACTTTCGCTCAAAAATTAAAGGTTAATAACAATGATTTCCAGTTGTTGTTGTTGTAATAACATACAAACTCCCTAAAGACTCTTTGGCGGAATGATGTTGGACTGACAGTCCTCGACCATTTCGCATAAATTCGTTTACCCAGGTTATAGGGCCCTGTGAGAAACGGGTATTAAAATTGAACATCTTGAATTTAGTTATTTTCCACGGTACAGTCATAAAACCTTATTTATGTACATATAATCTTTAATAAACGAGTACAAATCGAGGTTAAATGGAAATTCTCTAATTAACAAAAGCTACTTGGAACTGGGCACAATTGAGTACTAAAGTTATCCTCTCGAAACGAAAATCTTGGGCGCAAGTATTGAAACTAGCATAAGATATGTACTAATGAAAAAAGATTTCTGACTTCGACGAGGACTACAGCTAATTAAATGATAATTTGCACGAATTTTGGTTATTTAGTTTAGTCATGCGTAGCGGTCAAGAATGATAGAATACATTATTTTCTGGATCGTGCGTAGCGGTAACATCCCCACTGCGGATTAGTTTTGTGGTATTACCTATTTTGTAAAAGTGGATTTTTTCTAATAAGTATGTGAAACAAATAACAAAAATGAAAGTTGATAAAACATAGAAATGTACATACATAAAACATACACACATATTTATGTTTATATGTCTACATTCCACTTCGGGTCAGTTTTTCAGTGCCAATTAAATTGAACAGCTGGCTGATATTTGATTGGTTGATTAGTTTAAACCAGCCACATCGAGCGTTTAAACTGAGTTTAAACCACGGCCGAGCACTGAAAAACTGGCCCTGAGAATGGTTGGTGTTTCGGTTAGTGCGGTAGAAGCGCAACAAGGAAAGCCAATAGAACAAAGAATAATTTCACCGCTGAGTTAGAACTAAAAACACTACCTACTATCTATCAATACAGAGGTATTTACCATAAACACCCCCGAATTGCCAATCAAGAGGGAGACATGACAAATGGTTAGGCGCAGGCCGAAGAATCATACTGGCGAAAGATATTATGGAAAATGTGAAGAGGAATGCAACAAGTATATAAGATAGTTATTGGCTAAACATACATACATATCGTCGCTTAAAGTACAAAACCGCGTATCTACATTCTGGAAAACCTCGTAACTCACATTTGTGCCAAAAGGGATATTTGCTCACCGGTAGCTCCTGGTGTCAAGCCCTTATCCATTCATACTGAAATATCGATACTTAGATATAAGAAGAAGAGATAATTAAGGAAAAAAGATGAAACCGTCTTGAAATAATGAAGTTTTACTATCTCCTATAACATTTTGGCAAACTCACNAATAATTTCACCGCTGAGTTAGAACTAAAAACACTACCTACTATCTATCAGCTCTGTATTTACCATAAACACCCCCGAATTGCCAATCAAGAGGGAGACATGACAAATGGTTAGGCGCAGGCCAAAGAATCATACTGGCGAAAGATATTATGGAAAATGTGAAGAGGAATGCAACAAGTATATAAAATAATTAAGGAAAAAAGATGGAACCGTCTTGAAATAATGAAGTTTTACTATCTCCTATAAAATTTTGGCAAACTCAGATACGAGGGTTTGTTGATACGCGGTTTTGTACTTTAAACGACGATATGTATATTGTCAATACTAAAGGAAAAATCATTTTGCGCTGTAATCAGGAACTTTTGCAAGATTTTAAAGTCACAGAGCTAAATGTGGATGCTTCTGTATCAAGAGCATACTAATCTTGTGGCCTCAACGGAAATTTTATGTAACATTTTATTTTGGAGAAACCACTGTTAAGACGAAAATGCATAATCGTAAGATATTGATTTAAGATACATACGNTGCATTTTGTTGATACGTGGTTTTGTACTTTAAACGACGATATGTATATTGTCAAAACTAAAGGAAAAATCATTTTGCGCTGTAATTAGGAACTTTTGCAAGATTTTAAAGTCACAGAGCTAAATGTAGATGCTTCTGTATCAAGAGCATACTAATCTTGTGGCCTCAACGGAAATTTTATGTAACATTTTATTTTGGAGAAATCACTGTTAAGACGAAAATGCATAATCGTAAGATATTGATTTAAGATACATACATACGTACATACAAACTTAGTTACTATGTATATAATAAATGGCTTTTTGCAATCAGCTAATTTCTTTGCTTTGAAATCAATTGGCTAAACACGTATCCACAAATTTTCAACAATGGAATTAACAAAGAACGCAATTAACCAGCAGCTAAGTAGTGCCCCTAATGCCATTATAAAAGATACATATAAATGTAGGTAAAAAAAAACAAAAAAAGGTTATCTTAAACTCACCTGGGTTATTGAAAAAGTTTATATAAAAGTAAGNACAATGGAATTAACAAAGAACGCAATTAACCAGCAGCTAAGTAGTGCCCCAAATGCCATTATAAAAGATACATATAAATGTAGGTAGAAAAAAACAAAAAAAGGTTATCTTAAACTCACCTGGGTTATTGAAAAAGTTTATATAAAAGTAGTTAGCTGAATTTTAGCAAATTCCAACACTAAAATACCAGAAGAAAATATTTTAATATGTATTATTGATGATGCACTAAAATCTGTCTACTAAAACCAGTTTTTTGTTGCCTTTCTTTTGCTTTGTCAATTACGATTTTCTATTACTTCACCTCCACATGTTTGTTTTGCTTTTCGTTCGTATTGTCTAAAGCCCCTGTTAGACGTGGCAAGTTGAGGTAGTTTTGAATAGTCTGTTCTCATGTTATCACGATCATTTCTCACAGAAACGGCCTGGATCATTGGATTGGAGTTGGCAGCACTAATTTTATACTACTAGCACGAGGAAAAGCAAAATTGAAGGAAGTTAAAAGAAGCAATGCCAGAATATATGTTTGTGTATACATTCATTTGTTAGTGCTACCAAAACGTATTATCAGTGACACAAACCAAAAAGTGAGAATAATCTAAAACTAAAAAAAATGAATTGAAAATGGAAGGACGGAAATAATAATTTATATAGTAAGTGTTTATTGCGCTTGTGCTTGTGTGAATATGTTTTGTACGCACATTTCTACTCTTATTTGACATTAGTTTTGTTGTTGCCATCCTTTGGACTAAAAATTTAATTTTTTGCGTTACTTTACTTTTTCCTGTTGTTCTCTTTTAGTGAGCGCATATTGCTTACGCTCTTGTATTTTGACACTTTTCAGTTTTTAGTCAGAAAAGATAAGGAATGGACCTAATGGCAATTTTTTCTTGACCGTGTTCTTGAGAGCTGCATACTGGCCGTTAAGGCTAACAGAACATTGCCGATTTTATGCAACTCTGTAATAATTGACAGCGATATGTGTATTATCAAAACAAAAACAGCTGTCATTTTATTTTCCTTCGTCAAGTGAACTCGTACTCCAATATTAGAACAAATTTCGCTGAAACATTTATTTGCTGCATAAACGAAGAAATATTTATAAATTTTACTCGATGCGCACGAGTCAGTACATTATTTTAAATGCGAAAATAATTAAAAAGTGAGAATCACAAGGATTCGGCTGGAAGTTGACATCGGTGTTGGCGTTGGTGTTAAGCTAATCAAAGATGGAAGCGATAAAGGCACGTAGTAGCTGTTATATGATGAATTATTTATGAACTACTCTCCAATTTGTTTATATTTAACATTTTATTCAAATACAGAATATTTCGCTGGGTATAATATACGGCCTGTGGGATAGCATCAAAGGAATGACACTACTACTACACATCGATGCTGAAATACACAAAATAAATGCGGAAAAAGAGGCTGAAAAGCAGCGTCGCATTAAAGAACGGGAACGTCGCCATCATCGCACTCCATCACCAACACCTTCGTCAGCTGCGGCAATGGCTAGAGAGGAGTTGAAAGAACTGTTGCAAATCAGTGAACAAGAGAAACCGGACGAACGCAGTTTAAATAGTATGCTAAAGCGTACGAAAAAGAGTCAATCGCATGAACCAAAACCGTGAGTCAAATCTTTTGAAACCTCCAAATAAATACTTTTAAATGTAAATCTAATGCAGGGAGAAGAAAATTGCTAAACAGGTCTTGAAATGTTGTCTCCTAAATGGCGGTTTCACATGGCTGAGTATCATATTGTTTGAACAATTGCTGTTGCCAGCGCTAAGATTTGTTTTGAGTTTATTTTATGGGAATCATACGTCTGAGCTGAATATGGTATGGGGTTGGGTACAACCTATACTATCGATTATTTTCGGCATGATGTGGGTGTTGCCAATTTTTCTGCTAAGTAAAATTGTCAGCTCACTATGGTTTGCGGATATTGCAAATGCTGCTTATCGGGTGCGCAAAGGTCAACCGCAGTTGATACCCAACATCAGCAAGTTAATCGCCGATTTTTTGTTCAATTTGCTGGTGCAAGCACTATTTCTGGTACAAAGCATGCTGGTGAACTTATTACCCGTACCCTATTTAGGCGAAGCATTATGTTTTCTACATTTATGCCTGCTCTATTCATTATACTCGTTCGAGTACAAATGGTTCAACATGGGCTGGGAGTTGCATCGTCGCTTGAGTTATATTGAGAATAACTGGCCATACTTTTTGGGTTTCGGCATACCCCTAACCGTACTAACCAACATGACGAACTCCGTTATTGTAAGCAGCTGCATATTTTCTATATTTTTTCCACTTTTCATCCTAAGTGGCAATGAGGCTATTCCGATCGTCGACACCACGTAAGCAATGGACTACATTATATGCTATTTGTTTTAAATTTTAATATAACTTTTCCTTTAAAAAGTAATTTTCCTCTGCGCCTCTTCTCGCCCGTTATTTTCACATCGAATTTATTGTTTACTCGGGGGCGTCCTGCAAAGCTGACTGCAGCCAAGTTAGCTCAGCAGAAGAAACAATTGCTTCAACAACAAGAAAAGCAACTTCAACAGCATATGTTGTTACAGCAACGGATTGAAGAGGAATACCTAGGACGTAGTCGTAGCCGTCAAGAAGAACTCGAAACAACCGAGGATTTGGGCCTGCAACGCCGACAATCTTCGCGGTTCTCAAACTCTCCGTCGCCAACGCGTGGACCATACCGCTACCAACAGCCGCCATCGCAACCGCGAATACCTTCAACAACGCGTAATGCAAACGTTTTCCCGGATCGTAACCGATTCATAGGGGGTGGTCCCCCTAGTGTACCATCATCTGCCAGTTCGTCAGCACACTCGGTACAAACGGTTCGTCGCAGGTAGTCGAACAATTTTTTCGAAACAAATTTAATATTTGTGCAGCTGTTGACCACAAAACGTAAACGACCTATCATATCGACTGCTGCAAACTACAACTGAATTTTATTCAAATGGACTTTAAAGTGTGATCAATATCGTTTAGTTTCGGTTTATGTATTCATATAAATGCATACGCATAAGATAAGGACGCTTTATGTGCTTGTTTCGCTAATACAAGTAAATCCCCTTTTTCGCTTAACAATCCTGATAATGACAATTACTCGAGCATACATTTTGTAGATGCTTATTCTTTATATATTTAAAAGCATATTTTCGCAAATTAGATATAAAGTTTTCAATGTATGTCGTAACAAATGAATCGGACAATTTTTTACTGTCGCACGTTTTATATAAGTACTCGTATATACATATGTACATAAATACGTATTGAAACGCGCTAATAATAATTTGAATAAATTGCAATCAACTTTTTTAAAAAAAATGCTGTTTGAATTACTTAAAATCCAGCAGTTCGTCCGGTGGCTCATCCTTCACTTCCGGCATGTTGTGATATGTGGATACGGCAATCAATGTTTGTAATGCATCGAAACTCATTGTGGGATCCTTATCCTCAAGTAAAGACAATTTTTCGCTGCCGTTGGTATCTGTATCCTCAATAAATCCTTTGAAATTAGCGCATTGTGAAAAACCTGGATCCATCTGTAGCAGGGTTTTAACAGTCGGATTGGCAAGGCCAAAAAATTTTTCACCTTGTACTTGCAGTGGCAACTGCACGACATCGATTAAACTGCATTGCAAGGTTTCCAGCAGTCCTTTATGGCAAATATTTGCCGATTCGCCAAAGAAAACACTATCCAAATCGTTGTCGGGAATTATTTGGAACTGAGGCATGCCAGCGTTATTAAGTATTTTGCATGTGTATACACATTTCCGCTGCGGATCTTTAGGGTGCGCGTATATTCGTGTGGCCACATAGCCAACGGGATAGATCCAATTCGATGTATGAAAATTCGGATTTATAGGTATAATCTCGCCAGGTGAATGTACAAGTATATTGCATAAATTGATGGGGTACATTGGTTTGCCACTTGAGTCCAATGTCACTTTGTCGCGTGGCTTGTATCGTTTATCGATCTTTTCTTGACCGTGTGGCGGTTGTAAACGCTTCTTTGGACCACGTTTCTTAGGCACTGCATTCCCTAACTTGACCGTGTTTTTCGTTGGCTGCATATTGACTTCTTGCTCTATTTGCTCCTGTTGGTCTAGATTTTCGACGCCCTCGTGGCGCATAAGGCGTTTTATTAAGTAGCGGCGCTCTTCGCGTGCTATTGCCAAATCAGCCTGTACCTGTGCAACTTCATCACAAAGCGCTGCATTTTCCTGTGAATTAAATAAATTTGGTGTTCATTAATATAATTCTTTTTGTGTAGATTTTAGAGCAATACTCACAAAAACGAAGTTCTTTATCTGCCGCTTTAACCGTTTATATTTGGATTTATACTTTAAATTCATGACGCGCGTATATTGACTATTTTGATATTGTGGCTTCGACATTGTTGACCTTTAGGAAATTAAAATTACTTGGAAGCAGTCTTGGGGAAAATTGGAGCAATTTCCTCCCGAAAAATAAACAATTCTCCCTTTCACCCACCTACATATCCACAAGCTTGAGCTCTGGGGCACCTCACTAGAGATGGAAAAACATTGACGGCTATCGATGTTGTAACGGCGCGCAGCGTTGGCTATTTGCTACGATCGTACTAAATTTGCTACTATTTTTCAAAAGTATTAAAAAGTGCTATCACACGAAGCTTTATCTTATTTTAGTACGCTTTTTATATTTCATTCAACTTATGGGCAGCAACTATTTGTAAATAACTATAACTTCAAAAATGTCGTAAACAGGCCATGGCTTCAAGATCTAAATGTATACTTTTACTGCAAGTTGTGCAAGAAGCGTCTGACCAAAAACATCTGCAACATAAACAGGCACCAAATTTTCGCATAACAGACAAAAATATTCAATTTGCGAGAGGGATACTAAGTAATACAAAGAGGTAACAATGACTGCGTGTCGAACTACTTCCACGATGGATTCGTTGGCACAGATAAAAAGTGGCTCAACAAAGGCAAAAGGTTAAGTTCGCCTCAAATAAAGTTAATTTTTACTTATTTATGACGAAAGTGCTGTGGTAAGTGGCAAAAAGTGTTTATTTCTATAAGTTCGGTATTTGGACACCGCCACTGTAAAAGCAACAAATATAATACGATACGTAAAAGAGTACAAATGAAATTGGAATTCAAATGTTATGTTATTTTTTAACAGTAAATATGCATATAAATTTAAAATAATAAATGCTTATTTTTTTTTGTAATTTAAAGTTACTTCTTAAAAATTTGTTGTATCTTATGCTACGATTTTTTATTTTTTTTTCTACGATATTTCTGGAATTTTGCTACGCAATCGGTTTCGTGAGGTGCCAATCCTGATGGCGCGTTAGGGCCGCGTTTAGACGGAAAAGTAGACTTTCGCTTTCTTAATTTGACTCCGAATTGCGGAAAAGTTGGAAATCTTGCCAAGTCTGACACGCTCTGTTGGAAATATTGCCAAGTCTTGAACGCTCTTAGAGTACAACTCCACAATCATCAATTGAATCATGCTCCACAATAAGCTTTTCAGGAGTTCCGCGCTTTTTAGGCTTTCAGCCTTATAATTCAGCTATTGCTGAAAGTCTGAAAAGCTTGTGTACACCTATGACTCTTTGCGTTACACCAGGCGACAGAAAACGCAACTCTAAAACGCTTTTATTTGGGTGTGGCTGTAAAAATATCCAAAGATAACAAAAGTGCTAAAAGTCAACAAAGGGAAAAGTCAAAAGTGTCAAATAACAATTCGGAAAAAGCACGAAGAAGACTGAAGCGTAAAAGTGGAGGAGGTTTTGCAGCTAAATCCTTTGTTTATTTGTAACTAAAATTCCAGCTTATACCAATTTATCGAAGTCTTGGTAAAAGGGCTTCCTCCACGAATAATTTCGTTACACCTAGCTGCTGTAGATTTGTATCAGTTAAAAACCAAAAAGCGCAAGCGAAACAAGGATAAGTATACATATGTACAAAAGGTGCTGGCATTTGGGGGTCTGGGACGCAATGCTGCCGAATGTGATATAGACCCCGCGGAAGCATACTTAACAGGATTTAGTACATGAGGAGCAGGAATAGGTGAGTGCACTTTAAAATGCCAACATCATCTACATACATATGTACATACCGCTCTTTCGCAAGATATTTGGCTGGTGCCAATTGCAAGTGTTGGCAAAGTTTTGAACGCGTCCATGACTATTGCTGACCTTCGTATTTTTTTTTTTTGTTTACCCATAGTTTAACACATTTTCTTGACTACTACGAATATTCAAAGCAATTGCTCGAAACAATACTGAACACGACTGCGCAAGAGAATTATTTGTGCAAATACGTTCACTTTGTGCCACTCATTTACCCTGATCAGTGCTAACTATTTGCCATATCGGTGTTTGCGCGTAAATTCAATAGCTTCGAACAAATAACTTATAGGTCATACATAGGCGCAAAATGCGATGGATAGCGCACTTGGATGGTGGACCACGTCGTGTCAATCATGCTGCGGTGGGTGTTGGTGATAAGATATATTCGTTTGGCGGTTACTGCACTGGTGATGATTATCGCTTAAACGAATGCATAGATGTGCATGTGCTCAATACAAATACGTTGCGTTGGGCGGTTGTACCGCTGAAACGAGATGAAAATGGTTTGCCACTAAAGTATCCTGAAGTGCCGTTTCAACGGTAAGTCAATTAAAATGATTGCAGTAACTACTCATATATGCGCTTGTGATTTGATTTATTTACTTTTAGTTATGGCCACACAGCTGTTGCATATGGCGACAAAGTTTATATGTGGGGTGGCCGCAATGATGAGCAACTCTGTAATGTACTTTACTGCTTTGATCCGCAAACGATGAGCTGGTTTCGGCCTGAAGTAAAAGGTGCAATACCCGGCGCTCGTGATGGGCACTCAGCCTGCGTAGTGGATCACTGCATGTATATTTTTGGTGGATTTGTTGACGAAATAAATGAATTTTCTTGTGACGTACACTGCCTTGATTTTCGAACAATGGAGTGGCGCTATGTACAAACATTTGGTGCCCCACCATCATTTCGTGATTTCCATTCAGCGGCCTCTATATACGGGCGTATGTATATTTTTGGTGGACGTGGCGATAAACATAGTCCCTATCATAGTCAAGAGGAAATGTACTGCCCGGAAATTGTGTTTTTAGATATGAAAACAAAAATGTGGCATCGCCCGTCAACTACCGGCAAGATACCTGTTGGCAGACGCAGCCATTCAATGTGTAAGCTCATATCGCAAACCGTCTTCAAAAGAGTCACAACTCAAAATTTGGCAATTTTTGAAATTATGCGCTAAAAATGTACACACAGCTTTTATTTACCTTTACCTTACCTGCAGCAAACTTCTGTTATAATTTGTTAAAAAAAAAACCTAAGGTAAAGTCGCCCTTGCCCATATGATTAAATAGCATGTGCTACGAAATAATTATTCGCATTTTCTGACGAACGATTTTGAGTTGTGACTCTTTTGAAGACGGTGTGCGATATATAAATACATATGTGCTTTTTCTTACAAGGTCTAACATTTTTGTAACCTTTTCTTATGCTAGTTATCTACAATGGTCTCATCTATATATTTGGCGGCTACAATGGATTACTGGATCAGCATTTTAATGATTTTTACACATTTGATCCGAAATCCAATTGCTGGAATCTTATTAAACCATTTGGACGACCACCAACGGCGCGTCGACGACAAGTGTGTATAGTTAAAGACACGCACATGTTTTTGTTTGGTGGCACCAGGTGAGTAAAATGTCTTGTTAAAAAAGGACGTAAATACACACATAGTTTTAATAAAAGTACCGATTGAAAAATACTATTTTTGAGTATCTTGGGAATATTCAAATCTTCAAAAGAGATTTTAGTGTTTTTTTTGTCCATTGATGGCGACAATCTTTTCTATGTATTATTATCAATTAACCCAGTGTAATACATATACATATGCATGTATCTAAAACAAACGTTTGCAATTTCACATCTTTTTCAGCCCTGATCCCCAGAACAGCAACCAACTGATTGATAACAATGACACTCATCTGCTTGACTTTCAGCCTACCCTACGTACATTATCGATATTAGCCGTCATAAATTATCGTTTGGACACAACTTGGTTGCCAAAAAAACTTAAGTATGTTATGATATATTGCTTAAATATTATCAATTAAAGCAACAATAATATGTTTATAATTACAGAGAAGAAATACGCTTACTGACACAGCCAAATTCATTAACAAGACCACTTAACCATGCAGGTTAATATTAACAGCAGCGTTCAACACACCGTACAACAAATATATCACAGCCAAAAACACCTATCGTGCGAATATTCATCAGCATACATACACAGCAACAAAAACATGCGATTTCAATAAAAAAAAGTCGAATCTAAGAAATTACTTCGTCTTAGCTTAGCTACAAACGCATACATAAATATCACTCGCTTTTTTCTCATTGAATTTTTTATTGCACAAATGTTCATACATGCTTGAAGTTTTTGTTGTTTTAGTTTGTTATCTTTCGTTCATTTCAAATTTAGCTATTAATGCATACAATGGAATGTTAATTTAAAAAAATGTTTTATTACATATAATTTTTTTTTTTATCCCTTTTAGTCTAATGTTTATGTTTCCTCTTTAGCCATGTTGTTTTCAGCACTTACTTTTTTTTAATTAACTCAGTGGTTGTATGAGCAACAGCAAAAATGCACTTAGGTGATGTTTTGTGGTATATATGCAAGCAACACAAACCAAAAATAAAAATAAAAAAAATCGAAAGTAATCAAAATACATTTGCAACGACAAACTGAATACGTAAAAACTACCTACAATTTTAAAACAAAGGAGATTAATGAAAACAAAAATGTTTATAAGACAGGAAGTGTATTATGTACATTAAATAAAATAAATTGTATTTAAAAGATGCAACCGAAAAGTTTTTTTATTAATTTAAAATGCTTAATTTCAATAAAGGCAAATGTTTTTTATTGTGTAGCGTGGTTGAAAAACACTGTAGTAGGTTTGCCATTGCCTGCAGAGGTGCAACCGCTTTTAGAAGAATTTTGAAGTTGTTCGGATCATTAATACGGTATTTACACGAGGCCATTCAAAAATTGGCTGAAGACCAACTCCGTTTATACCAGCCATTTGTTGCCTTCAACTAAAAGTTGCCTGTAAAATCTTGTCATTTAAACATCGTATAATCGAGGGCCATACATACACCTCGTATATTTTTTTCGAACTTAGATAATTGCTAAAACGATAATTTCCAAAACAGTGTGCTCGTTAATTACTAATTTGTAACTTTCTATAACTACCAGCTCTAATTTGACTTTTCATAGAGTATTCTTGTCTTCTTGCACTGCCTTTCCCAACCAGGGTCAACAGGTTCTCGGACGCATATAAATTATAATTTATCGAGAAAAACTGCAGATTTAAATAAAAAGATTATGAAATAAATTCTATAGCTTTCACTAAATTAGAAACGTAATCCATATCTGGCTTTCAAATATTTAAGAATTTGCATACATATGTACATACATATTTTCATTACTGTCGGAAATGATTTCACGGTCTTTCCCGCCAACCAGGTACTTAAATTAAATTTCTTATATCAAGCTGTTTTAAGTCCGGTTATTAAAATGTGTTTTTGGGACCAAATTTCTTATATAAGCGAAAACGTTTTATACTTAATGAACGCGCCTTTTTGTGGTTTACAATCCTTCCGCTCTGCTCAATTATAATACTTACCAAACAAATTTTAACAAAGTAATACCTTTTAGTCTTTATGTTTATGATTAAATATTTATTTAGTAATTAAATTGAAAGTGTTCCTGTCAAGTTCATTTAAAATCTGCGCAACTCATACAAAAATGCAACTGATGTTACCAGAATACATTCTTTTCGCACATCTATTTTTTATACAAAATTTTACCCTAATACAATTTAATAGTGGTTACAAACAAACATTGTTATATATACGTAGCATGCATCAACAACCACATTTGCAGTTAGTTTTACTTCAAACCACCAGCGTTTCCATATATTCAGCTACAACTGCCGAAACACCTCGACATGGAGTAGTAACAGTAGCAAAATAAAGGTGGCCCACATGTACGAATGAAGCCAATTGTGTTGTGTCCCCCTTTGTTGCTGTCATTATGCGATGCACTATAAGGGAATAGCTTTTTGTTGCTTTTGTTTGATCAGTTCACTCCAAATCGGCGTGGGCGCATCCTTTTGCAGCATCCAGTTTGGCGAAGGTACATCCGGCGATAACCAATTGAAATCTGCAATATCTGTATAGTTATTTTGTGATCGATCCAAGCCGGCCAATTTAAAGTCAGCTTCAATTGTAGCGTAATCATAATTATAATCAGACACTTCGATTTGTGTGCAGTCTTCGATAATAGCCCGACATGTGACATGTAGGTATATGCGACAAGCGTTCGAAGAATGCAAACGCAACTGTTGGCAAGCCAGAGCAAGCGTAGTGCGTTCGCAATATTCAGCGAAGAGTGAACGCGCTATGGGTCCACAGAGGAAAGTGCAATCGGTGGCATGCGAAATTTGTACTGAACCTGCATGCCCTCGTAACTCCACAAAACATTGCTTTAGATTGGAAATAGTTATATCTTTGCCATTCAATTCCTCACCTTCTAGGCAAATGTATTCATTTTCTCTATTGGCTAAAGTCCAAATGAATGCAGCCCTATCATCTTTTGACTTTTCGGGCATGTCTACTTTATCGGAAGCAACGTTCACAACTCTGGGATTGACTAATACCTTAGGCGCTACTTTTTTGCCGCTGAATCCAAACTTCTTTTTGGGTATTAAACGCAACCGAGACTCCTCGCAGCTGGCACCTAACTCATTGAGTACATTTTGACAGGCTTTTATTTTGAAATCGGCTAGAAACATAGTAGATGTGGTTAGATAACGTTGCAACTCTTGAATTTGCAGTGTAATATCGGCGAAAATACGTGTCAAATCGGTATTAGGGGTAATAGGACCGGACAATTTAGCAGCTGCAGCTACTTCCGTTGTTTGTTGCAACTGCTCCTCTATTGCACGAACTCGTTCACCAAATGTTTGAGCAAAATAATCGGCACCCTCCAACTGCACATTCTCCTTATTGCGTTGCTCTAATTTAACATCCAAAAAATTCTGTCGTTCCTTATTTCGCTTGTTTAGGCGTTCCAATATGGTCTCCTTCTTGATGTCGGCATGGTCACCGCCACTCAATGTGGTGTTGCTGCTTTGTAGATCAGCGTTCATGTTATTTGTCGAATTTTTCAGACCGGCTTTCAATACTTTGGGGGAAACACTTTCAAATTACTGATGATTGTGGATTACTTTTCTTTTTTCTGCAAGTAAATTGGTGGTGCCTGTCCGGTAGCAGCGTCACGCATACGTTGCATAAACAGTAGCTTTTTACGTTCCTCTTCGGTTAAATGTGCTGGGCCACCGGTCGCTCTTATCCGCTCCAGTTTCTCTTCTGACGGCGCGGTAAGTCGCAATAGTCCGTAGCCACCACCGCCTGCGCAAACTAACCAGATTAGAGATTTAACATACGGATTGGTTGCCATTTAGAAAAATTCAAATTGTTGTGGGTATTTATTCTCTAGTCTTTAAGAATAAGTGCTAAATAATAGAGAGTACTTCTACTCAAGATTTACTTAAGAATTTGTGATAGTTTTGTTTGCAAGTATGACTGTTAAAAACGTTAATGTAGTAGGTACCCGATATATTAGGAATTTATTCTCGTTTCTCGCTCTCGGCACGCCAGACAGCTGCATCAATTTGGCGCTGATTGCTGTTGCCCAAAACTTCGCCCACCTTGTAGAAATAATCCAAAGCCAATGGAAAGTTTTCGTTAATGTACTGGCGGAACTCTGAAAGTATGAAAGAAAAATTTTTTGATTAGAAACTATAAGCCGATCAGCATTTTCATCTACATAAACACCGATATATATTATAATTGTGGATATGCGATCTATGTAAATGAATAATGATATATCTTTTGCCACTAGAATTTTTTTCGTCTTGCTTCCAAAGTTCTATAACTACCAGAAAAGTTATTTTAAAACAAAGAAATCACAGATTGTTTAAACAGCGTACAAATTCATTCGCTTTGGAAAATACAGACCAGCAGATTGCCACCCCCACAGCGCACACCCGTTCTGAGTCATGCACAACAAACCAGTCTTGCTATTGTGCTTCTTCTTAAATGTATGAATTTGACGTGTAGTATGTACTGTCATTTCATTGAGCGACGTGCGATATGAGACTCCCTTACAAAAACAAAAGGGAGCTACAACAAATGCGCTGTATTGTGTAACAATTTGCCTTTAATGTAAAATGTTTGCTATTTTTCTTCAATTTACTATATGCGGATTGGAATGGAGTATAGTAGAAAAGTTTGACTTACCCCGATTGGTATTCATGCGATAATAAACTCCGTAGGAAGTCGCAAAACAAACAGCTTCCGCAATAAACAAAACCTTTGCACTGCCTTTGATAAGTTTCCAGAATGCTGGTTTTGGCTTTTTAGACAACATTACACAAAATCAAAAAAAATATAATTGTTAAATTACGCTTTCCCACGCGTTTGGACCGAATTTCATCACTTTCTTTCAAGTAGAGCGCTGCCTCCAGGGATGAAACGATACTTTTTGCTCGATACCAGGTAATTTTGTATCGATACTTTGAACCAAGAACTGCGTAGGTATTAAGCTGAAATTAGTCAAGAACGTAAACCTACCGGTACGTAAACCCGAGTCAGCTGACACGATCTGTCTTACCAAAGCGCCATGGAAATGAAAACTCAACACCGCAGAATTTTTCTGTAGTTGTAGCCCGTAGCGCAGAAATCTGCTGAATTTAGATTTTTCCGTGTCAGCTGATTTCTCCTTCTTTAGATGGTTGCCACTTCGTCAGTTTTGCAGATGGTAAAAAAGTTATAAGTTCCTATTCGAAATATGTTTAAAATATTTGAAATTTACTATTAAATAAGGTTTTTGTTGAAAACTAAGTAGTTTATATTTAGTTACAATCTATTATAGCACGAAAAATTGTGGTTGAAAGGGTAAGTTTATGAAAAGGCATTGAAGAGTGGCAACAGTGTAGTAAGCAACACTGAGGGCTCCAGTAATCGACAAAATTCTGCGTATACAGACTGCGTGTAAGTATACGTTCTGCGTTCTCGACTAATTTCAGCTTTACTCGTATCGAAACCCGAAACCAACGCAAAGTTTCTTTCGTATTTTTTTCTTCACTAATATGAATCGCCCTGTATTTATGGCTGTTTAAACGCTAACGACCTTCGAGTATGGAATATGTTAATTTTTTTCCTGAACCCAGTATGCAATGAACTTTTTTGCCAGATATTTTTGCTGTTCTTGCATAGGGAATCCATTTCCATGGTCGCAAAACCCAAAAATCTATTTAAAACATTTTTTTTTTTAAGTTAATTGCACGCTGTGCTTAAGTCAAAAGAACAAAAATTCAACGATTTTTAATTTGACGGTCGGTCTTGAGGTCAAAGTAATTTTTCATTTAATCAAACCTTTAAAATGACTTAAAAGTAAAATTTTTGATTTATTTTTACCTAAAAACAATTTGTAATAAACTTTTTAAAAACAATTTACTTTTCTACTATAAGAGATATACACCTGGAATTTTGTCAACTTATAAACCAAGGTACAATAAAAGAACAAAGATAACAAGAAGGGACAGCTCGTTATAATTGTAGCTAAAGTGCGCAACAGGGGCGTGCCTTATCTTTTGCCCTAGTGCGCTTTTTGATTGGGTGAAAAGAGAAAGCACGCCCCTGTTGCGCACTTTCGCCAAAGAACGTAAATCTATAAATTTACCTTCTTTAGTCCTATTTCAGAATTTTATTGAAAAAACAGGAGTATTCTACGGTGAGTGTACTGAGAAAGAAGAAGAATGACACTAACGTGGTTCTCACCCTGTACTTCCGTTAGTGCATTTGGTCCCAACCGATATTTGATCACATATAATCATAGTTGCCAACTTAGTGCTTTAAGCACTAGATTTAGTGCTTTTTGAAAATTAAAACGCCAAAAATAATGGTTTAGTGCCTAGTGCCCTTTTTAGTGCTTTTTTCTGAACTAAAATTTCTGAATTTACAAGCATCTACAAATTTAAAAGCACTAAAATGCAAACCATGATTGATAAAAAGATGAAGTTGCAAACCCACGTTCTTGCGTTTTTGTTAAATTGTATTCGCGTTGAAAATGCTAGCACGCAGATAAGTTAAGTATTTATTTTTTTTATTTTCTTGATTATTGATTGATTATACAGTTCGAAAAATTTTAAATTTTTTTGCCACCTGAGTAGAACCGTTTTGTAGACTTTTCGGTGCTGAATCCAAATCTAGCTGCAGTTTCGCAAGCATGAATGTGTAATTATTTATACATGTAAATATTGTTTATTTTTTTACTTTTGTTTACCACAAACTGTTATGAAAAAGAGTATCCTTAGATAGTGCGGTAAAACGCTCTTTTTTTTCCAAGGTTTGGTGCTTTTTGAAACTGAAAAGTTGGCAACACTGCATATAATATCCCATCCCGTNTTTTACTTTTGTTTACCACAAACTGTTATGAAAAAGAGTATCCTTAGATAAAAAAAATTTAGTGCTTTTAGTGCGGTAAAACGCTCTTTTTTTTCCAAGGTTTGGTGCTTTTTGAAACTGAAAAGTTGGCAGCACTGCATATAATATCCCATCCCGTCTAGATTATTTTCACTTGTTTTGACATTTGCATTCTAAATTATTTCCAATTTTATTGTTTAGTCATCTTGGTTTGCAAAAGGAAGTTTCCTGTTTTGTCTAGAAAGTTTCGTCACAAAGTTTAAGTTGTATAAATATCTGGTTAATAGCAAACATAGTGCTTAGTATCAAAATGGAGTTTCCACATCTCGGTCAACACTGCAACGAATCCACCTGTAATCGCTTAGATTTCCTGCCATTTAAATGTGATTCATGTAATCAAGTGTATTGCTCATCCCACTTCAACTATGATAATCACTCGTGTATTGGGCCACGTCGCAAGGATATGCAAGTGCCAATTTGCCCTCTATGTGGTGAACCAGTGCCAACAGCACCCGGAGTCGAGCCTGATCTAACCGTCGGGCGTCATATCGATCAGCAATGCAAGTCGGACACAAAAAAAATATACACAAATCGTTGTAGTTATAAAAATTGTAAAAAGAAAGAGCTTATACCAGTCAACTGCACGGAATGTAGAAGAAATTTTTGTCTACGCCACCGTCATACCACAGATCATGAATGCAGAGGTGCTTCCGTTGCAAGTGTAGATAAGCGTGCTATGGCAGCGTAAGTAAATTTACATACATACATATTATTGTGACGTGTATTTTGAGGTTTAATATGTACATGTTACTCGAATACATTTTAGAAATGCAGCTGAATACAGGCGTACTAACAAGCCAACTTCACTATTTAATGGGCAACCTAGACGTAATCCCATAGCAACTGGAACACAAGTGCAAAATATTCAAGGAAATATGGTTGGTTCAAAAGACCATAAAACTTGTTTTCTCATTGTTTCTAATTAAAAACATTGTTGTATTTTTAGACTGAAGATGAGGCGCTAGCTCGTGCCCTTGCTCTGTCGATTATGGAGTTAGATGAGAATGCAGATCGTGAACGTCGAAATCAAACTGCTGTCAATGCGGCAGTACAATCGAATGCTACAGTACGCGTTGGCGGACGTGATGAGCAATCCTCAAATGTAAAAGACAAATGTCTGCTTTCGTAGTTCGATTTAGCTGTTTTAATGGTAGAAGTTGTAGTTTAACAATTTAAAGATATTCTTTAGTAGCTTACAAGTATCTAAATACATACTTACTATACATATAATAACTGTTGCAGCAGTAATTTAATCAATGAATGTCACATGCTAAGTGTATTTGCATTTAGCGCGCGTTTATTGCAAGACTATTCATGATATAAATAAAGGGCCTATATCGTAAGTTTGTTTTTATGATATGATATATACAATTAATTTTTGTTAATGAAAGTTAAATGTCCACATTCCTTAATTGAAATGCATATTTTATAATAGATTTTAACAAACTGAAACTTACCTGCTTGTGATTAAGCTTTATAGTGGGCATGAAATAATATTTTCCGACGCGTACATACGTATGTATCTAAAAACATGTTTAATCCTTTTGCGAATTCTATTTGAAGAACTATTATTTGAACGTTTTGTTCTAACAGAATTCGCAGTTGGGATGGTTAATAAATAATATATAATCATTAATTAAAACGTAAGCAATTTCGCCATAGTTGTTATGTTTTCTTAGAGACAAAATAAACAAATAAAAAACAAATATTGATTATTTTATTATACTCTCATGAGATGTATACGTACATACATATATACAATGTGCATCACAAAAAAAGTTGCGGTTTTTCCAACGGAAGTATAAAAAATTTATAATATTTTAACACTTCCGCCAAAATATTAAGATTTGCTTTAGCTAAACCGATTTGAAAATACTGAGCTACGGAGAACGTGCTCTGTGCTATCCACGTTCTTCAACAAGTTAATCGCCAGTGATAGAAATGGAAAGCATATGTTGTTTCCGTGGGTTATGTCCCGTAACCAGTCCCATCAGTGCTTTAAACTCTAACCTTTGTTTGAGAAAGAATTTCACCGCTATCTTGACTGAGCGCTACCAACGCCTTTAGAAGTCAAGTTACACTCCAGATGTACGCATGCTACAGCCCATTTGCCGTCTTGTATAGCCGTCTTATATTCTGTCAGTATAGAACGTTTTTACCTAGCACTTTAAGAGATTAACTGGATCTCTTCTTTATTATCTTTTAGAAATGCCGACGAAGTAATCGCACTTTTTTCCAAAGAAGACCCTATCAGTTATCAGTTTGTTTAGGAGCAAAGGGCGCTGACAATCTGCTTAACAACTCGTATGTGCTCGCAATGCTGATATTTGTGCCAAATACAATAGAATATGGTAGATATATCGTATTCATTTTAGATCCCTAATTGAAGGCATAGCATCTAAAAGATAATTAAAATCCGCTGAGATGTTGCATTAATGCTCCTCACAATTCCCAAGCGAGCCTTTCGATTATTCGTAGATCTAACCCTGTTTCGGTCCGCAAAATCTCACAAACGTTGTTCGCAAATGGGGCTACGTATATCTGCTCCGTATTCTTCTGTTCAGGGCTGGCATAGAGTCTAATCCAGGGCCAGAAATATACACCTTCCGCGTATGACAGAGACGAGATACTTGGCTGAGCAGATATAGGATACGACATTCTGAACAATGATCGACGACGCACCCATCAGAATTATGGGTAGCTGCAGTAGCTCGCACTATATATTACAATCGTCAGCGATGGTCTGATAAACAGCATAATGTGGCGACCTATGCTGACTCAAGCATCAGACCATCTGTCGATTGATAAACTAGGGGACTTTGTTGATTGGAACGGCTTCTCGGAAGTTACTGAAAGCACCTTCTCTGCCACCTTCACACCAACCGACGTTCACGTAAGTTCCGCAGGGGTGTCACTGCTGCTGCAGCCCGCTTTATCCCAGCCGGATGTATCGCGGATCCCCCTCCGAATTTTCCGTCCGAAGCGGCTGTTCTAGCTAATGAGCGTGACAACCTTCGTCAGACCGATCAAAAACATCCTCGTTCAGCAATTTGTGAACGTACATAAGCGGAAGAAGTGGGAAAAGCATCTGCAAACTTGTTACTTCACCTCTGGTGTGAGCAAGCATTGATCAACCATGCGGTCACTGTCCAACCCAACGAAGCGTGATGAAAGTGTCGAAATCTCTTTCGGCGACTGCGCTTCGTCGGACCCGGAGCGATGCGCGAGCAACTTTATCCGACAATTTACGCTGCTTCCTCCGGCGGACAAAGCCAAACGCCGAGTTACCAGAAGGCTGTAAAAATTATCAATACCTAGTGTGCCTCTTGCTTTCACCAGCGGTGAGGTTTAGGTAGCAAAGCGAAAGCCTCCAATGGCATAGGACCTGACTGCATGTGCATGCTGGTGCTGAGAAAATTGTGTCTGCCCGGAGAAGACTACCCTACCAAGACGCTCAACCTGTCTATGGGCACTCATCATTCCTGACATCTTGAAAATAGTTCGAGTGGTCCCACTGCTTAAACCGGGAAAACCGGCCAACAAGAGATGGTCTTCTTATCGTCCAATAACCCTCCTTTCCTCTGTATCGAAGATACCTGAGGGCTTGCTACTCCCACACTACACGAACCACCTGTCCCAAGCGAGGCATTCCTCTCCCCCACAAGGACTCAAACAGTGGTCAGCGAATTATCTGAGTGGTCGACATTCGTCAGTGATTTTTAGAGACAAAACTATAAAGCCAAGAAAAATTAAACAGGGGGTTCCACAAGGTGGTGTCCTTTCCTCGCTACTGTTTAACTATTATATTTCAAAGCTCCTTCAACCATCAGAGGGAGTCTCTATTGTCTCTTATGCTGACGACTGCCCGATAATAGCGTTTGGGATTGGAATTAATGACTTGTGTGCTCGAAATGAAACAGCTACCTCTACGAAACTTCTCTCTTCTTCCCGGCAAGGAGCCTAGCCCTCTCCACAACTAAATCCTCGGCAATTCCTTTAACCGTCAGACGACGCAGGTCAGACTACAGCTGGGAATTCACGTCGATGGCGTACAAATTCCGGCGGTTAACAATCCGAAAATTTTAGGGGATAACTTTAATAGCCTGCTATCCTTCTTCTTCTTCTTCCGGTTCTGAACTATGCTGCGGTTTTTTGGTCGGCGGGTACTAGTTAGACGCTGTGGACGAAGCTACGGACTTGTCAGAACCCCGTAATCCGGACATCGACAAGATTTGAATACATTTCTCGGTCCAGACATACACTGACCAACCACTGGACCCAACGACGTACCGTCGAGTGATCAACGGCATTCATAGGGAGTCGTAAGGAAACGAAGGAAAGCTCATCCTCTGTCCTTGTGTGGGTTCATCTGGTCGTCTTCGAGACTTGCAATTACTAAGTGGTTAAACTCAGAATGGAATAAGTAGGTTGCCCACATGCTAACATCTGCGCTTTCACAGGATAATATTCTAAGTGATTGTCTAGCGATGGTAAGGCTTAGTATGATACACCTATATGGATTTACAGTCGAGCTATTTCTTATTAGGAAGCGGATAGTATATTGGGATGTCAGGGTTAGGGACGCGACTTTTTTAAGAGCAAATACAACTAAATCGATCAAGAAAATTTAGTTTAGAGGTCACAAAAGTATCCTTGAAAACGAAGATGCTGACAGACCAGCAACGAAAGCTGCAGCTACCCGACCAATAGGACCAACATCCTTTCTTGCTGCGGGACCTCATACTGTCAGGGATAAGAGATAAGAACACAGGGCTATGGCAGGCGAGAAAAAAACTTTTGTGAAGTTACCGTCCAAATTGATCTAGAGAACTAATTAGCCTCCAAAAAACAAGTTTAATATAGAGATGAAGTTTGCTAACGGATCATTGCAGGATGCGAGCCCACATGATTATCTTTGGCATTAGAAATCCTATTGCAGCTCCTTCTAGAATGCGATGCTGTTTCGAGAAGAAGACTAACATACCTGGTACAATTGTGAACAGAGGTTAAGAAAATTCACTCACTGCAGTCCCCGAAACTGTAGTTTTTATCAATGCCCTAAGGCACAATAAATCTAGTCCAGCAAATTAAAAGACAGCAGCTCCGCTGGCTCAGTCTCGTAAAACAAATAGACGTAAACTATCAGCGCTGCAAGCGCCAACTCTCCGATGCGTAGCCTAGGTGAAGGTGAAGAATCTCTTTGCTTCACGGGCGTCAGTTTGCAAATGAATGGCCGTCCTTGTCACCCGTTCCGAGTCTATTCAATTGCTGAGTAAGATGCCATCTCTTGGGCAAAATGGGGACCGGCGAAGACTTTCGTGCTGCTTACGTTTTTCTCGCAAATTGTTTACCGCTGGTAAATCCAAATAAAGGTTACAATTTAAAAACTAATTAATAAAATTTACGTAAAATACTATGTGAAAAATTTATAATGAAATACTTTCTTCGTAAAATCTATAAAGGACCATTTTATTTTGTCGACAGCTATTCGTCGCCGCGCCGTACATGTACATACATCCGGCTTTTATCCATCTGAAAGAATTAAAAAAAATGCAATGGTGGCCAACAGCTGGCAGTGAAACTTGAAAATTCCTGTAAATTCGCGTTCGTGCAGAAATTTGCAAGTTCCTCTACTTGAGAGAGAGAGAGAGAGCTTTTTCTTAAACGGTGTTCACATGAGGCGATTTTCTAGGTACCTTTAGAGGCAATTTGTTGAATAAAAAGTTGGCTGCTCCCCAACCCAACGTAATTGGAAGCGATCAACTGATAGGCCGTTCACACCAGGCGATTGTTGCTTTCAACTAAAAGTTGCCTGTAAAATCGCCTCATGTTAACATCGTATTACTCTCTGATATTTTGAGTGAGGGATATTTCTTGTTGGATAACAAACCGGGTTCTGAGCTAAGTTTAAAGTTTCAAGTCTCAGCTCATATGGAAGTTGGTTAAAAATTGATTTTACACAGGTGAAACTTAATAAAATCTTGTAAAAACCAAACGAATGTAGCTGGTAACTGGTAAAAATAAGCTGTTTCTATTATTTCTGCCACCACTGTATATGAAATGCATTGATGTATGATATCGTAACAAAAAAGTACTTTTAAATATGAAGTTTTAAAATAAAGCAAAACATAGGTTTTTAGAAAACTAATTAAAGTCAAAGAACTGAAGCTTGAAACAAAGGACGAATGTTCAACTATAGCTGACATATACGTACATATATATATATATATGTATGTATTGCTATACAAATAATCATCCACTTCATAATTGGCAATCGATATGGAATTGATAGTAGTCAAAGTTCTTAGATAACTGATTTTGCAATACACACACTTAATTATGTACATACAGTCAGGCAATAAAGTTTGGGTACAGCGAATTTTTTACAATACGGGCAACTATTTTTTTAATATTTTATTTTTCGATAATTTTTTATAAAAATATGGTTAATTCTACAACAAAAAAAAACCAAAAAATTAGAGTTCCAAACCTTGCGCAAAATTAAAGAAAACTCTGCAAAATTTCATTCAAATATTTCACTTTTTATTTACGCTCTCTAGAAAAAAGTTAAGTATGCAGTTTTTTTAGCCCATTCAATTTTAGTATAATAAAGTGCAATATGAGGAAGCTAGGACTTACCATTGATTTTTGGGAAATTTTTTTGTTGAAGGTGTCGCATATTTTTTCCATATAAAAAATTTATCAAACATTATTTTATATAGAGAAAATGAGCGACACCTTCAACAAAAAAAATTGCTATAAATCAATAATAAGTCCCAGCTACCTCAAACTTGCACTTTGTTATACTAAAATTGAATGGGATAAAAAACTGCATACTCAACTTTTTTCTAGAAAGCGTAAATAAAATGTGCAATATTTGAATGAAATTTTGCAGAATTTTCTTTAATTTTGCACAAGGTTTGGAACTTTGAATTTTGGGGTTTTTGTTGTAGAATTAACCATATTTTTATAAAAAGTTCGCGAAAAATAAAATATTTAAAAAATAGTTGACCATATTGTATAAAATTCGCTGTACCTAAACTTTATTGACTGACTGTACATATGTAAATAGTTATGTATTACGCGCTCTGGATTCCTTTGAGCAAGCGCAATAACAATTGTTTACAATATTGAGTGGCAATGCACAATTTTTATTTACCGCATCAAAACTTCTAGTACGATCAGCTATTAGCGCGCGGCGTAATCGGAAGTGAATTCTCTTGGGAATTAATAGGCCAAAAGAAAGATGAAAATAACACACGCCACAAACGAGTGGTGACCGATCGCGATAATATACATAAACATATGTACGTATGTATATGCACTGGGGTGATCACAAAAAAGTAAAGTCGGAATTTTAATACTCTCACCCCCGAGGATTGTGCTACACTGAAAAAAATATACACCTGTTTATTTTTTTATTTTTTTTTTGAAATCAAAATATACTTAGAGGTCGCTCAAAGCAGTAAAAGTTTTCCATGCATTTAGTATAGGGGAAAAAATATTTAGTGGAAATTCTTGAAAATCAATATTTTTCGATCGGAAAATATTTGCTATTTTTAAAGGTCCCCCAAAAAACTCCAAAAAGTGCGATGGGGGCCCATGAAAAATCATTATTCTTAAAAAAAGGCAAAATAAACAATTGGGTATTATTACTGAAAGTCTGCTGAAGAGCAAAATAGTTTTCTGTTTGAAAAATATTGATTTTAAAGAATTTTTATAGCATTTATACGAAAAATTATTATTTTTTTTTGCCACATAAAATACATGGAAAACTTTTAGCGCTTTGAGCGACCTCTTAATATTTTTTGATATCAAAATAAAAAAAAGGAGTATATTTTCTGGTATAGAACAATCCCAGGGGGTGAGAGTATTAAAATTCAGACTTAAATTTTTTTTTACCATCCTAATAGGCACTCATCATTAGTGTTCGTATACATTAGCTATAAATGTATCTATATATGCATACTATATACTTACAAACATACTACCATACATATATTATATTAATCGTTCTGAGGGAATAGTGATCTAGTAGTTTTTGTGGTCAGTGACTGCGACGACAACGGCGAAAACGCATCCCGAATGCACGCGGCGCGAAAAAAAGGTTCGACTTTGAACTTGCTTGGTTTCCCGATACGCATACGAAACGTACCGGTAATACGCACATAGTGTAATACGTGAATGATTTAAGTGAAATATTCGTTAAAAAAAAGACACCGCTCTTAAAAATCTGAAAAAGAACCTCTCCGAAGAGCGCGATTAAAAATCAGTGAAAGTGAAAAAAAAATCAATAATTTAATGATAATTAAGTGAGAACACACAGCCATTCTCACAGCCATGCAAATTAGCGGCAACAACAATAGCAACAAAGCAATGCTATTGATTTATTTTCTGCTGGCCACTTTAGCTGGTCAAATACCAACAATTTGCAGCCGTCGTATACTCGGTATATTTCCACACTTTGGCTATAGTCACTTCAAGGTCTTCTATCCGCTGTTGCGTACATTGGCTGAGCATGGTCACCATATCACTGTGGTGACCCATATCAAGGCATCGAGCGATACAAAACCTCCGAATTATGAAGAATTGTTGCTGGGTGGACATCCCACTGGGAATTTTGTTACCTTTAATCAAGTACTACCACGACGTCCACTGCACTATCTCCTGCTCGAGGCGGAATTATTGCATAGTGAAGGACAAAAATCTTGTAAGAAATTCTATGAGAGCGGTCATGTTGAAACGATCTTAAAATTGCACGAGCAACAGCCATTCGATTTGGTCATCACAGAGTTCTTCAATACCGATTGCCAGTTGGGCATTCCATATTTATTGCAAGTACCGGTGGTGGGCTTAAGCAGCTGCCTATTGATGCCCTACTACTACGATCGTATTGCGTTGCCAGATTTTCCATCTTATGTGCAGTCTGAATTCGTCGGCTTCCCGGAGGAGTTGAGTTGGCATCAGCGTCTGTTGAATTTCGTACAAATGAAGTTCATTAAGAACCTCTATCGGTAAGCGATCGGAGAGAGTTAATACTCAGACGCATGTATGTACATATGTAGGTATTGACGGTCAAGCTTTCAAATGGGTAGATATATTTATTAAGCTTACAGACATATTTACACGCCAATGACAAAATCTTCGAATGACGGCGCCCAAAACTCAGTACTCGGCAGGCTATAGCAATAACAATGACAGTTGCATTCATTATAGTATTTAAGATCAAGTTTTTGCGGCATAGTATTAGGCGCAGTAGTTAAGACAGTTGTCATGCGATGAGCTTTGTCATTTGTGAGGGAATAGAGCTGTTAGAATGGATCCTCTGCAAGCTTTCTAAACTATTACTTTTTAAGTTACTTATTTTCGATAGCGCTGAAAACTATTTTCCCAAAACCCATTTGAATCCAATGGGTGATAATGATAGAGAAATGTCAAGTGTTATGGATGTTAAGCTTGGACGTAATAGGGATATATCATAAAGGTTCTTAGGTATGACATCATCTATGTGTATGAATTTTGTCCACCATTTCTATGGTCTCATAGCTTTTAAACGTCATTGGAAAACTGCATTTGGATCATGACATTCACAACAAAGGATTCTACTTCTGATAATCTCTCTCCGATTCAAGCTTAGAGGTCTCTAAGATCACTATACCGTTTTTTAAACCGAAATTCACTTTGTTTAGAAGCAAAGTTGGGAAGCATGTTGGACGTCAGATCAATCTTTTATGAGTTAACACTTGTGTGCGGCATTAAATTTATGATTTGAAGCCGCGTTGCATATTTTATCTTCAAATTTCTTTGCCATCGCATGTCATGAAAAATGTAATATTGGGGCAAAAGCGTTATTTTTCTTATCAATTTATAAGCAAACCACAAGATAAGCCATATACATACATACATATACGTATAATCTATATATATATAAAACGCGAAGGGATTTTTTGTGCAGCATAAAAGATCTTTACCGTTCGCCCGATTTTCAAAAATGAGATGTCAAATTAAAGCGCTTGACCTGTAGATGTGCAAACTGGTTTTATTTTTTCGAAAGGAGTTGCCACCTGTTAAAAAATTGCATTCAAATAATTTAATAATCAGTGCCATCAGATCCACACCGTTAGTTCCATTTTCAAAAGTGAGGTACCAAATTAAAGAGCTTAGGGTGTGGATGTTCAAGAAGGTTTCACTTTTTCGAAAAAAGTTGCCACCTGTTAAGAAATTAAGCTCAAATTAATTAAAAAGGTAAATCAATTATTAAATATGGGTATCGATCGAAATGGTTTTGAAAAGGCTTTATAACTTAACTACGTATAGGAGGGTTGCCACATATTAAAAAAATGTAATTAAATTTTAATTAAAGGAATTTGGTAAGTGAATAAGGTATCGCTATGTGGGTGTCATACAAAAGAGGTTTAAGAAGCTAGTAGTTTGGAAATATTTAGAATAGGGTTGCCACCTATTTGAGAAGTCTAATTGAACTATTTTATACCCAAGTCATATGAAATATTAACGATGGATGTCAAATGGAAGAGCGTCAAGAAATACTTAGTTTGACAATTTAGAGCATTTTTGATGTTTGAGGGTTGCCCAGTTTAAAGGGCTAAACTAAAATTATTTAATAAGTTATCAATGGAACTATATTTAGGAGGGTTGCCACGTGTTTAAAAAATAAATATCCACTAATTTATCAGTTACTTGAAATATTTATAACAATGTCAGGCGAAAAATATTTAAGGAAATTTTAGTTCGAAAATAATTTTTAAGAGGGTTGCCGCCTGTTTTGAAAGTGGTATTTCTTTTAATTATACATAAGTTACATGAAATTTTAAAATATGGTTATCAAAAGAACGAGTGTTAAGAAATCTTTAAATTGAACATTTGTTTTTTTTTGTTGAAAAAATTAAGCTAAAATTATTTAATAAGTTAAATGGATGGTCAAAAGATGGGTATCAATCGAAATGGGGTTGAAAATAATTTATTTCTAAACTGTATTTAGGAGAGTTGCCATGTGCTTAAAAAAATTAAATTTAACTTAATTCATCAGTTAATTGAAATATGTATAACAATGCCAGGCGAAAGATTTTAGTTTGAAAATACTTTTAAAGGGGTTGCCACCTGTTTGAAAAGTCGAATTTGTTTTACTTATACGAAAGATACATAAAGAAATATCGAAATATTAGTGTCAAACGACAGAGTTTTAAGAAAACTATAGGCTGATCATAGTGAAATAATATAAAGTGTACCAGGTAACTGACGTCTTCATATTTGAAAGCCAAATTAGATTTTGTTATTATATTTTCTTTAGTTTCTGGTATTCGTTTTTTTTTTCAATTCTGGCATTAACCCTTGGTTTGGTTGCACATCTCTGTCCTATTTCGGCTTAGATCCTCATCTTTTGTGGACTGAAAAGAACAGCACTGCAACGCTATGTGTGCTTTTGCGCAAGCGGCAAGAGTTTCTTAGCATATTTTGTTGATTTTTTTATTCAAATCGAAAAAATTCATAAGTTCTCACTCAAAAAGGTTAACGTGAAAGTCAAATCAAAGAAAAGTTTGTGATAATAAATTGTCAAATAAGAGTGCCGAAATAGAATGTCATTGCTATCTAGCACACTTTATATTATTTCACTATGTGGGCTGATAATATTTTTTATTAGAGTTGCCATCTATTTTTTTTTGAAGCTCATCACATTTGCACAGTTATTTCGAATTTCCAAAATGAGAAGTCAAATTAAAGAACTGGGATTCTACACAATGGATAGATGTGCACAGGTTTTATTTTTTGAAGTTACAGGGAGATTTGAAATTTGATGAAATGAAAACCGACACCATGCGAGACCTCTCATCACATACATACATATGTATGTGCCTCTGAAAGACTGGTGCACTTAAGTAATATACTTGAATGTTCATGCGCAAATTCCTACATATGAGTACATACATAAAAAAGACTTGTGAAAGCGCAAAAAAGACAAACACTTCATATTCTTCACTTCAACAAAGAATGTAGAAAATTGCATTGCTGAATTAATTGATAAGTAAGTCTGTATTACCCATGCACCAATAACCTATATTTTTTTTAACTTTAAATAAGTATTAACACATGCAATTGCGGGCTGATATCAGTAACGTACGTACGTATGTACTTATATGTTAAAATTATATAGCAAAGCTTCGAACGAAAAATGTATACCGAAGATTGTACAACGCCGAAAACGGATTGTACCTAAACCAAATTTAATGGGGGATCACGAAAATTCTGTTTACATCTTCTTAGGAAGGAGAAGATCGTGCATATTTATATCGAGTGGCGGGCGGATACAAATCTTATTTTGTCTGACGAGATTACGGAACCTCAATGAAGATCTTGGTAGTGGAAAAGTCTTAACATCTATGAACATGGCAAAGTTAGGATCACAGCTCCCACTAAGTTTCTTTTGGCCAACGATGATTTGAAGAAGGTAGCAAACCACTCTAGTGGCACGCTATTGGCTTCAAACCCCCACACCGACACCGGTACAGGCATTTATAACAACCCCATGAGATTATCTATGTCTATGGAAAAAAATGCGAGCATTTATTAAGCGAAGGTCTTTGCTAGTACTCTGTGTGCAGAAATAACTTACGTAGAAACAACCCTAGTCCTCAGCTTGAGTCGAGCGGCACTCAAGGCTCTCATATCATTTGCGGTTACATCACATCTAGTCATCGAATACAATAACATCCAGCTACTTGAAGAGACAAGGAGAGGAAAGGCTCAATGTCCCCAAAGGATGAGCTGTCCATATCAATATAACATGTTATAAAAAAGCTATATGAACCACCCTAAGGCATCAATTCGTAGATGCTGTAGAAGTTGCAGCAGATATGAGGTATCTTCCTCCTCCGTAACTGTTCCGCAATGTCTATGCACAGGTTGTGACACCTTGGGTCGCCTTTTATGAACGAGCTTTGTGTAGTGGTGGCAGGTATAAATCTGTCTGAAAACAAGTCGAAAAAGTGAAACGTTGCCTGAGCCCTTGCAATCCCGGATGGCGGCAGAGTAATTGTTGACTTCCTCCAAGTCGGGGTAGCTTCGACAAAAGTCGTTCGTTGTGTATTCCCATAAAGCAGTGACTAGTTTCAATAACTCTCCTGAGTCGAGGGCGTTCGAGGAGAAGGAGAGGGGGGGAGGGGGGCGGAGGGGTAGGGGACCTATCCCAGTCGAGTGTGGGCACTATTTGACATGCCACCTCATACATATGTTAGTTTTTCTTAGTCCTGCCTTTGTTGCCCGCTATCTCTTATATCACCTCAGATCAAAGTCAATCTTTACAATTTCTTCAATCCATTTTTTCAGCTACCGCACAAATTACTACGATCGCCAATTGATCAAGAAATACCTGAATGTGGATTTCGATGTTGATGAATTCGCTAAACGCAGCACCAGCTTAATTTTGGTCAATCAACATTACACCTTTAATGGCAATAAACCGTTGACGCCACAACTAATCGAAATGGGTGGCATACACATCGAAGAGAAGGCGACAACAGCCACCTTGCCAGCGGAAATTGAGAAATTCTTGAAAAATGCACCACACGACGGTGTACTCTTCGTTAGTTGGGGTTCCATGGTACGCGCCTCCAGCATGCCCAGCGAGAAAGCGCAAGCAATAGTGAAGGCACTCGAGCAACAGCCCTTCAATGTGATTTGGAAGTGGGAGAGCGATGAGTTGCCAACGAAAAGCAAGAAATTTCTATTCGTAAAATGGGCGCCGCAGCTTAGTTTGTTGTGTGAGTGTGCTGGAGAACTACATACCTACATAACGATTGTGTATTTACTATAAAAAAAATGTATAATTTTTCTTCACCCCACAGGTCATCCAAAGGTGAAAATATTCTGGGGTCACGCTGGCCTACTCGGCACTACGGAGAATGTTTACTGTGGCAAACCGATAATTACCACGCCGCTCTATGGCGATCAAAGTGTTAATGCGTATGCAATACAAAATCGTGGTGCGGGCACTATTCTGCTCTACGACGATATAAATGAAAAGAATTTATTGGCAACGCTAAAGGAGATACGCCGCAAGAGGTGGGCTCATAAACTGAAATTATTTATGTATTATTAAATTGTTAATTTATTCACTCAATACCTACTTTTTACACAGTTATGCTGAGCATGCTGCTGCATTGTCGCACATTTTCCGTAATCGCGACATGAAACCGCTGGACAAAGCTGTTTGGTGGGTGGAACATCTGCTGCAGGAGCAGGGCAAAACGGCACACAAGCTATTGCAAACAAAGGCGACTAAATTGAATTGGTTCGTCTATTATTCACTGGATAGTGTGTGCATTTTGCTTGGCATTGTCGCGGCTGTTATTTTCATTGCTCGTGTGGTTTTGCGTCGATTGTTGGCTATTTTCAAACAAAGCAAACCAAAGAATGCCAAAGTGAAGACTAAATAAAACGAAAACTACACGAATATCTATAATTTGTATAGCGAATTTGTAAATAAATATGTATGTCTATAACTTATTCTACAGTCCATAAGTGCAAGTGTGAATATTTGAATCAATTAGCAAAAACGAATTTAAATTTTGTAAATTTTTTTTTGAAGCAAAAAGGGAAAGAGTAAATATATGTACTTTAATATTCTTAATTATGTACAACTAACTTTATCCCAGATTTTGATATTTTGCAATGCTTAAGAAAAAAAGTAGTCGCGAGTACCAGGTATGCACTCATACAATTTGATGTGTAAAAATATGTGCCCTGAAAAAGAGGTAACATCAGCATTGTGACATCTCTCGGCCGCGCTTAGAAAAAATAACCCTCGACAGTCCAACTCTGGCGACGCTATCCACAGTATTTTGCCGCAGGCATAATTAATATAATAAATTTTGAAAACTGAAATCAGGAAGCTATAAAAAAATGAAATTAGAACGCCGAAGGAATAAGAAGGCAGCCTTAATTCACGCGGTCTTAATTCCATTCACCTGAAAAGAACAACTGGCACGATGAGGAATGACACGAATCTTCAGAACGTAACGCGAACAAAAACAACAATAAATTGCTACACGAAGCAATCAATACTTTCACGAAGCTATGTGCCAAAAAAAGTAAAACTGCGTTTTTGGTTTCTCTCTCTGATGTCAGTATTTTTTTAAAGGANGCAAAAACAACAATAAATTGCTACACGAAGCAATCAATACTTTCACGAAGCTATGTGCCCATGGTGTAATAATAACAAAGTGTTGTCAGTAACTTAACCTCACTTTTNGTCAGTATTTTTTTAAAGGAATTTTTAATTTCAAAGATATGATTGATTCCAAAAGTTAATTAAAAAATTCAATGCAAAGTAGCATAACAATATTGGTACCAAATGAAAGAGAAAATTTTGTGAAATTCGATAATGTGTTCCAGTTTATATGAGTCCTTAACATATAATTTTCTCAAAAATAAATATTGCAAAATTTCAAGCATAAAATTTTAAAACGGTATTTATCAATATGATGTAATGTTGAACAATTTTCCGTCATCCCTTGTCAAATTTGGTTTGGAGACAAATCGGTTTCGGCGTTATGCCATCTTCAGTGCAATTTTTCGTTCCACATTACGTCATACACCTACCCTGCCGGAAACACCAACAACGAAAATTAGAGTATTTTCAATACCTACTTGTCCTTATGCACCAAAAAAAAATAAGTTTCAAAGATACTGAATTTTCCCATACTGTTCCACATGTCGCTAATTTCTACTATCACTTTCACACTGATCATAAAAACAGGTGCAAAGTGTTAGGACGTGCCTTGGACATACTTCGATAGCTGAAACATCATTTTAAGTAATCCAAAAAAGAAAATCCCAAAATCGATAGTTTATTTTTGGATTTATGAGCATGAAAGGGGGATTCAATATCACTATGTAGCGGCTGCCCCTTTGCGTGACAATATCAAGGCGAACGCTAACATATTGTGTAAGCGCCAATCTTTTATTATTATTTATTATTCTATTTTTTATTTTTATATATTTTCGTTTTTAGTTAAATATTTTTAATGTGTTCAACTTAGTTTTCCTTTTTTTTAGTTCATTTGTTTTTAGGATCTTATTTAACATTTTTTATTGCAATTTTTTTTTATTTTGTCTTCTTTGATTAAATTTTTAGATTTTGTTTTAAAAAGACCATATGAATGTATATACATATACACATAGGTATATTTCTTAAATTTTATTTAATTTTGAAATACTATTTCCTTCTTTTATTTAATTTTTTTTCATTTTATAGTTTGGTATTCTTTAAATTTTTAGATTTTATTGTTTTAAAAAGATAAAAACACTTGATTAATTTCATTTAATTTGAAAAATTTTTTTATGTAATTTTTTCTTAATTTTTATTTAATTTATGTTTTCTTTTTTTAGTTTAATTTTCTTCTATTTATTAGTTTTTATTGTTTGAAAAGGGAAAATATATATACTTTTTTAATTTAATTGAATTTTTGAAAAACTTATTGCTAACAGCATAACGCTAAGGGCCGTTTTCACCGTCTCTGGTTAACACTCATCCCCAGTTAAACATCGTTACCGATGTAACTTACTCCATGCAGTGTTAATAATTGCATTTTCCAATTTCGTATGAAAATGTAATTCAAATTGTACTTTTTATCACTAAATTGTATCAAATTTTAATTGCAATTATTTTTGTAATGTTTAGTTACTGTGTACAATTTGTATTTAATTATTGTTTCTAATAAAGTAGAAATAGCTTCTAAAAATTTAGAAACAATTTTACGTTTATTTTATTTACATAAAACGTTACAGACTTTTACATCAGATATTATGATTTTAAATGCATGGATGTACATACTTAAGTACATAAATGCATATAAACATAAGGATTTACAATGATTGGATATTTTAAAATTTAAAAAGTTGCCAGTAAGTTCCAAAAAAGTACGAATCCTGTAAATAACACTGGATCATAAATTTTAATTTGGTTTTTGTTCTCCAGACGCCGCTATCCAATTTCTATGTAGAATTGCAGAAAAGCGTGTTACTTAGGTTTACGCGGCGTATGAGTAACATTCTTGCGTGCTCAATTTTCATACAAATAATCATGCGCATTTTTATTTGACCACTCATTATTTCTTATTTATCCATCGATTTTCTTCATTAGTAACTAGATTTTTTTTTTTAACAGAACAGGCTTTAGTACAAATGCAAAAACTTGGCACAGAACCTGTTATTTTTTTTTTAATTTTTCTTCTGTTAATGATTAATTAACTTGTCAGAAACTGGAGATTAGTGTTAATCAGAGATGGTGAATTGCAAAATAGTAGTAAAAATGAAATGGCAAAATAGTAGTCAAAATTCCTATCGTAGTTTCAGCAGCCCTGACCTTAAAAAAACCAATACAAAATTTGCGTCAAATGTACAGAATATGGGATACCATCGTATAGTATAATTGTGTTAGAAAAACCATGCCGAGTGACCTGTGCTCAAAAGTTCAGAAACCAACGTTTTTGAACTAAGAAGTATTATCCTTCAAAGAGCGAAATAAACTCGCAAGCTAAAAAACTAGAAATTTTGACAGTTCAGTTACAAGACCTTCGAGAGTTTCGCGGATTTTTCCAGCTTTAGAGACTACCTCCTAAGATGTATTTCTACCCAGAAATCATTTGCAACGTTTCTTCTTCCAATTGCAAGCTTTTTCTTTTGCGTAATTTGTTAAACTTGTTAAATCGAATTAAAGAGGTAAAAATCATTCACGTAATCAAATCATTTTAACGCAAAAACATTTTTACATATTTTTAGTGGCTGCGCAATTTTTCCATGGTTGCACCTACATATGTACCTATTGACAGCTTCGAAAAATTCCTTGCTCAATTCGAAATGATTAATTAACATGCGAAAAAGAAATATAAATGTCAGACATATGTATTTATAACTATATACTTATACAAACATACACTGCCGGCAAAAAGTATTGGCACAGCTGCTTTTTTTTACAATATATGCAACAATTTTTATTGCAATATTTTTCCGCCAATTTTTTTTATAGAGATATGGTCATTCTACAACGAAAAACATAAAAATATAATTTCGAAACTTTGTGCAAAGCTTGCGAAAATTCCGCAAATTTTTAACTTTTTATTCAGATTTTTTAGAATTTTTTTGAGTATGCAGATTTGTAGCGCAATCAATTATATAATAATAAAGTACAAGCTTTAAGCAGCTAGAAATTACCATTGCTTTTAGGAAGTTTTTATTTCACGCAGTCTCTTCCACACAAAAAAATTGTTCGAAAGTACTTTATATGAAAAAAAAAAATGCAAAACAAAAAATTCTCAAATATCAGTGCGATTTTTTTATACAAGAATTTAATGGACTAAAAACTGCATACTCAAGACAATTCGAAAAAATCTGATTAAAAAGTTGAAAATTTGCATGGAAATTTATTGAATTTTCGCGTGTTTTGCACAAAGTTTAGAAATTATATTTTTATGTTTTTTTTTGTTGTAGAATGAACCATCTTTTTATAAAAAATTAGCGAAAAATTATTAGAATAGAAATTGGTGCATATATTGTGCAAAATTCGCTGTGCCAATAATTTTTTTCCGAAAGTGTATATATGTAAATACATATGAGCATATATCTATTCATATTTACATTTTGATGAATGGATGGATGATACAGGCACGCGTCGAGGATAACCAGAACAAGTTCATTAAATCACGCATTTGCGGTTTTCCATGAGCGAATCATTAGAAACATACAATTATATAAACATACGTATGTATAAATTAATGATTATCAAATGTGCACGCAATTCTAGACAAATTTCATAGATTTTACTGTGCAAATGTGAAAGTGATTGAAGGTGGAATAGCTAAATAAAATATTGATCAAATTATAAAATTTAAATGCGAAAAATAGTGCGAAGGTGAGCAAGCAACTACATATNCACATACAATTATATGAACATAAATATGTATAAATTAATCATTATTAAATTTGCACGCAGTTTAGACAAATTTCATAAATTTTACTGTGCGTACAAATGCATTAGGTGCAAATGTGAAAGTGATTGAAGGTGGATTAGCTAAATAAAATATTGATCAAATTGTAAAATTTAAATGCGAAAAATAGTGCGAAGGTGAGCAAGCAACTACATATGTAACTAAAATTGACGTCACAGATTTATAGAATGACAACATCAATGCCATGAATTCCCTTCTAATAAATCTGAATTGTCGTTTTAGGGCGGCGGCTGGCGGCAGTGGGTGAACAATGATATACATAATAAATGCAAGGTCATGTTCACACCAATAGAATTTGACAGCCAGCACTCGCGCGAGTCGTCATAAAAATGGCAATGACAATGACAATGGCAAAGCAAAGCAAAGCGAAGGATGTATGTATGTACGGATGATCGTACTGATGATCTAAGTGTAGAGCGCGCAAATGTAATAGCAGACTAGCAAACATTTGGAAATCAGAGCTTTAGAAATAAATATCCATAAATAACTAGATATGTATGTGCGTTTGCCTGCTTAATAGGTTTAGTATGTAAACATATTTATGTACATACATATGCATGCATACTTACCATGCACCAGCGATCGTGAGTGATCTTGCTTGTTTACTTGCGTTGCATATGAACAGCATACGGATGTGATTTATCATCTTAATACTGAGGCAATTGCAATATCCAACCGCCCCTAAAGCACAAACATAGAACAAAGAAAAAATATAGCTTGCAGCAACAGGCGCAAATCAGTACAAGATCGTTCAATTCGATTTTCTACTGATATTAGGTGCTACGACATTCTAGTGAAGATAAAGATAAAGATAAAGATAAAGATAAAGATAAAGATGAAGAAGGTGAAGATGAAGATGAAGATGAAGATGAAGATGAAGATGAAGATGAAGATGAAGATGA